CACCAATCGCGGCTTAGAACAGGCGGTCGCCGGCGAACGTCCACCAATCGCGGCTTCGGCTGGGGAGGCGGGGCCACGTCGGGCACGTCGACGCTCAAATAAACTTTATTGTCCGCTTCCTAGTTGTACAATAGGCAGCAAGCCCCTGAGAAGCCACTTTCCTGTTGTGTTCCAAGCCAGTTTCCTCTGGTTTTCCTCGCCTTCTTGATACAGCGTGCAGAGAGTAGTATTTCTACAATGGGACACCGCTCATCGGCTCATAGAATTACTCTGTTCAGTGTGTTCATTCATTCATTGAATGCCTCCTACATAATAGGTGCTCTTCTTACACGGCTTATACAAAGATCCCTTTCAGACTAGTTTGGCGTGATCCGCAGATAACATACAGCCATAATATTATAGTTACAAACATCACCAGTTATATATGTTTCATTTCATTTCAACAGATTATAATTACACAGTTTTAGCATTTGTGGGTCATACAAATGAGCAAGATATTTTCAGGAAGTTTAATAGCAAAAATAGGCATGTAAATAGATACTTATAGATGCTTGTAATCTAGAGTTAGAAAGTGATAAGTTATAAGTATTAAGTGTGCTGTCAGATCAGAATACAAATTTAAGGAGGCACTGTGAGACAAGGTATTTTCCAATTAAAATGCTTACAGACTGAAGCAAGAAAACCAGCTTCAAGAGTGTCTTGCCTCAAACAAAATTTGATCAAAGTTGCAGCTATAATCACACACTGTGTTGTATGTTAGTTATATAACTAATAAAATACTAGCAAAAAAAACCCCCAAGAACAAAAATAAACCTTTCAAGGAAGGGAAGATAATAAAGCAATCGCTTATATGCAATTGCAGATAATACATTTTTTTATAAAGGTGAGAAAAGCAGCTCTTACATTTTATTTTCTGGAATTGACCCTTCAATGAAACTAAGTTGTTTGCTCCTGACGTTGTCTTTCCATTTCAGAACCCTAAGTTATCAGCCACTTGAAGTTGGTCATCAGCCGTGGCCACCCCCAGCTGCGTGGGGAAGTTAGAAGAGGATTCAGACACACAGAATGCTGAAGGAATCTACCAGACTTGAGGAGGAGATAAAGCTAATTTTGGAAAAGAGATATTACAGATTATAAACATCCACCTTTCTTTTGTATAAAAAACCTTTGTCCTCTCTCCCCCTCTCCCCCTGCTCTGCATTTGAAGAAGCTCTGTGGCCTATCTTGAATGAAGTGTCCAAGAAGTGCATCTTAGGCAATTCCATTTCTGAAGACTAAGCCCTCTATGCACTTCAAGAAGGGGAAACCAACTTTTATTATCAAATGTCCTGAACTCCAGTCTAATGGTTGATCCGAGGTTTTATAGGTCATTAATCCATCTATGTAATTATTTAACACAGGTGTCGTCTGCATGCCAGGCAGTCTTCTAGCCACTTTGGATTCACCTGTGAACCTTATACACAAAATCCTCTGCCCTCAGAGAGCCTGCCACTTGACAAGGGAAGACAAACAATATAATTATAAGTAAGTAAATTATTTAGTATTTTAGAAGGTGAAAAGTCCTATGGGAAAATCATAACAAGATAAAAGGAATAAGGAGTGGGGGCAATGGGGAATGATGCAGGCTGCAGTTTTAAACAGAATGGTCGGGTTAGGCTCACTGAGAGGGTGAAATGAGGAGACATGAAGGAAGTAAGGGAGTTAGCCACGTGAATAAATGGGGGAAGACAGTTCCAGGTGGAGCAACCAGTGCAATCAAGAGATAAGAATAGTTTGTATATTTTTAAATAGTTGAAAAATCAAAAGGAGAATATAGGAGAAAAATCAATGAAAACATTCTGAAAATGTTTGTCCATCCCAAAATGTAGACACACATTTTGAATGATTATAAAGGCAGTGAGCTATCTATCAGCTGTTAAAGTGCATAAATATGTTTGGGACACCCTGTGTTTCATGACACATGGAAATTATATGAAATTCAAATGTCAGTGTCTATAAATAAAGTGGGTTAGGAACACAGCCATGCCCACTTGCTAACTGGCTGGTTTGGTGCTACAAGGGCAGAAATGAATAGTTGCAACAGAGACCATCTGCTCCACAAAGACTAACTGTATTGTTTCAGAAAAGCAGAGGTGACCATTTCACCATTATTACCAGGCCAACACATTATCAAGCGAGATAGCAAATCAGAGATACCAGAAATACAGGTTGTTCTTTGAAGGTTAGTTTCACAAATTGCAACGTTTTTTGAAAGTCCTGGCAGTTTTACTAGATCCCTTTGTTTAAATGATTCTTCCAAAGACAGTGAACAGAACAAGTTGGTAACACTTCAGAATATACACAAAGTCTCTATACTGAACAGAAAAACAAGCTTGATGTTCTAACGAATGTTATTAATTTAACGCTCCATTAAATCAGATCTTTTTAAACAAGTGATAAATGCAAAGAGAAGCTTCAGGTCTTCTTCCTTGGAGCCTCCTGGAGAGAGTACATCTCCTTCATCTGTTTCTGAGACTCTTTTTGTTAATTATGAAGACTTGCTTCTTTGTGTTTTTTTTTTAGGTCAGGTTTTGGAATTTCATGATTTAAATTAAAAGTAAAAAGCAGGCCAGTAGAGCTCAATTTTAATGGTAGAAATGAAATAGACATTTCCTTAGTCATACCAGGAGCATGAAGCATCCGCCTCCCATACTTGATCCTACAGGGAAAAGCTTGCCTGACAATGAAAACAACACAGAGAAAACAGACCCAAGAGTTGGAGAAAGGTAATTCCTGAAAATGTCTTCCCAGGGCCTAGATCCCGCTGTTCAGATATGTGAGCCAGTACATTCCTATGGGTGCTTGAGCCAGATTGGGTTAGGGTTCTGCCACTTAGAACTACAATAGTCCTAACATGAGAACAGATTCCAGAGAGAGTTAAAGGAAATGATCCACATGCTGGTGGGACTCAGCATGGATGAGAAGGAAATGATGGCTTCAAGGTGACCTTGGGAATGTCACATCAGAGATTTGAAGAAACAGTGGATGCAGGCATAGAAATAGGAGCACTGGTAGAAATGGACCAGATGGAGAAGCTGAAGAATCAAGTTCAGCACCTGTTGAGTTTGAGGGGATGGTAGATGTAGCCCATGAAGGAAATCAGAATATGTCATCCCAAAATATGCCTCTTTGACATAAAATTTATTTTGAGCTGAAGGCAATTAAGAAGCAACAAACCCACACTAGCTGGTTTGGCTCAGTGGATAGAGCATTAGCCTTCGGAATGAAAGGTCCCGGGTTCAATTCCAGTCAAGGGCACATGCTTGGGTTGCTGGCTTGATCCCTAGTAGGGGGGCATGCAGGCA